GGTTTCCCCCCCGCGCCCCCCCGCCTCCCCAGCCCTCGGGTTGCTGCCGCGCTCCGCTCGGCTTTGCCTGGGTTTCCGAGCGCTTGGGAGGTTCCCCCTCCGTACCCCTCGGCCTTAGGGAACCGAATCCCCCACCGCTAGACGTAAAACCAAGCACCCGCGGGCCAGGCTAACGCCAAACCGCGCCGCGCCTGACGGCGAGCCTGGGACCGCGGCCCCCGGGGCCGGCAGCGCGGGGCTCTCGCCACCCTCAGAAACGCGAGACGGGGCACAAGGGCTCTGGTGTATAGGCTCAAGGGTTGCAAGGGGGGACGTGGCCCTAGGATCGCGGGAGGAAAGGCCCTAGAAACAAAAGCCTTTGTTACACAAAAATAACTTATCAGCACCAAGGAACCTGATTTTCCGCACAATCACGCCACATCTCTACCCGGAGACGCTCTGCCTGGCAGAGCTGGGCTCAGGGGTCGCGCCAGCCCCAAAGCGTTGCCTACCCCGTCTCCTTCCCAGCGCTCACCAGTGCTCCCAGTTCCTTCCCCCCAGCGAGGCTCAGCTGTGTGCGATTGAAATGCGCTGCCGGCAGCTTCGGGCGCGTGCGATTGAGCTGCTGCAGCCTGTCACCTCCCTCCTCAGCTTGTGCAACAACAGGTAGAGGGAGAGGAAAATGTACCATGATCTCAGGGACTCGGGTCAGCAAAGCGGCAGCAGTTGGGTTTGTCTGTAGCCCGAGTCCTCCTGCCGCCTGCGAACTAGCTGTGCTGACGGCTCACAAGCAAGATGACCTTTCCCGCTTGCTTTCTTGCAGCCCAAGAGGCACGGGGTGCGTTTAACCCCTGCTGCAGCATTTCCACATGCTTTGCTGTCGTCTCCAGAATATACCATCTCCTCTGAGCGTCACCTGCAGCACTCCTGGCCCTAGCAGTGTCCTGCGCCCGCGGCGGCTGCTGCCGAGAGCAGAGCGGACCCATCGAGAGAGGTGAGGCAGCTCGCTATATTCGTGTTAATGCTGTCGCCCGACGAAGGCGCTCTTGGTGCCTGGCGCTGCTGAGGTGCTCTGCAAGGGGTTTTTGCAGCACAACGTGAACGGCAGCTTCCTTGCAGCTGTGTTTCTACAGGGTAAATGCAAGACGTGTGGGGGAGACTTTGAGAGGGTTTTTTCCTTACGCTGCAGCTGCTTCCTATTGTGAGGGTCCTGGAGACATGCATCAGCAAGGAAAGCGGAGAGGCAAGGAAGGGCAGGGGATGGGAGCACTTCTTCCACCCCCGCTATCGATTTCTGGGCCTCCTCTGATGGTAGAAACAAAGCTGGACACCCAGCACGAACAGAGGGGAGGGAATCAGGTGTTACCCATGCAGCGTGCGCGGTGCGGGTACACATTCAGCAGTCCCTGAAGCCCTGCAAAACTGGTGCTTCGCTTTGCTGACTTGCTGCCTATCCAAAATGCTCCCCTGGAAACCCAGCTGCGCTGCAGAGCGGTGTGAAGGTAGAGCAAGCCTCGCTGGCTGATAACGTACACCCGAAACGGAGGGGTGTGCGGCACGCACGACAGAGCTTGCAACGAGAGGCAGGTGGCATGCAGATGCAGCAAACGCAAAACCTCTGCCCAGGTGGAAACATATTTTTCTGCAGAGAGACTGGTTTTGCACCGGGAATTTTGTACTTTCTCACGCTTGCAGGCACAGTGCTGGGCTTTGTGCTGGGTTTTCAGGCAAAACTGCCTGAAAGTAGATAAGAAAAAAGGCTGCGCGCAAGCTGCAAGCCTCCTCCTGCGTCTGCCGGGAGCAGGGCAGCCCCGCGCCGCTCGGGCAGAGGCACAAGCTCGGCCGCGTCCGATTGAGCTGCGCGCGGCTCCCTCCTGACGGGTTCATTTCTGTAGAGGTAAACGCAACCTTTCAAGGCTCGGGCAGATTCTCACTTTTGTCAGTAATGCATTTCCTAGTGTTTAAACAGAAAGCATGATTATTTACTGCCTCTTTTCAGTGCTTCTTGTGGCAATAGCCACAATATTGGTGCGTCTCCCATGCTAGGTACTCATGCTAGGGGAAGATGTTTCTGCCACAGCTGTGAAACACGGCACGGATACGCTTGCCACGGCCCTGCGCTGCGTTATCGGCAGGGGGGACTGGACGACGCACGCTGGCTACCAAGAGTCAGGGGGCGATATCGTTTTTCACATGGAGACGAATTTGTTTTGTGAAGCAGCACCATCACTTGCCAGGCAGGCTGGCCAGACTGCCCCCATCTTACTCCCCCATGATCCTGCTATAAAAGCGCACTTTCCCGCATACCAGCCCAATTTCTCTACTCCGATGCATAAATGCTATTTTCCGCAGAAGTTAAGAGCAAAAATGGTCATCTTCTCCTCACAAAGAGTTAGCGAGGTTGCTGGTGCCCGTTCTTGCAGAAGCCACACAAATCCACTCTCCTGGAGTTGTGTGAAAACTCAGTGCGACACCAAGAGCAGCAGAAATCCCAAGCGAGGCCCTACGTGGCCAGCGGAGCTAAAGCTGCATCACATAGGCTGTGTCTTCATTGGAGCCAGATGGGCTTTTAAGCACCCTAGGGTCTCTGTTAGCTCAGGTAAAATTGCCAGCGGTCAGGCTGAGCTGTGGTTTGCAACACAGACCACCTTGCCGTTGGGACCAAGGCCAGCCCCCGTCGACTGCTCCTTCCGGAGCAGGCATTTAGCTGGAGCCCCTGGTCCTGCGGGTGCTGCGGGGTTTGGGGCAGCCCTGCGCTGGAGATGCTCACCTGCCACGGCAGTGACGTTGTCGCCCGGCTGCAGGCAGTGCGCGGCCGTCACGACCCACTTCTCGTTGATGATGGACCCACCGCAGAAGCCTATGTTGTGACTGTTCACCAGGTAGACCTGCAGAGGCAGAAGGAAATCCGAGTTGCAGAAATCAATGGGGAAGAAGAGTGAGACACGGTGGTTTTGGTTAGCTGGAGGATGGGTTTTGGCTAGCTGGAGGAGGGGTTGCATTCAGGTAGCACAGGCCCAGAGCAGGCGCTGGCTTTACGGCTTGCTGGGAGCCTTTCCTCAAGAAGTACTGGACTCCCCCTTCTCACCACGGCTGCTGTAAAGGTCTGCTGCAATTGCCCTACAAAAGTCTTAATGTCCAGGTACAGTTGTCCTCTTTCCCATCAGGCTGGGATGATGGGCAGCCCATTGAATGCAAACCTCGGCCTCAAATTCAGAGCTTCTGGGATACAAGCACTTCCGTACCTACCTTCTGAAAGTATTTTGCCAGTGGCCAGTAAAACTAGGAACAAGACCTTAACGAACCATTTCATTTGGGCATCTAACTGCCTTGGCGCTCATGGGGCACGTGCTGGTACATCCCTTATCTTCAAACTTGTTTTCAAATTAAATTGATAAACTGACTCAGTGGACTATATTTAGAGGAATATTTATTATTTCTGCTATATATATATATATTCTATATAGAATATATATTATTTCTGCTATAATTCACCCATTTTGTTCCTTTAATGCAACCTGGCTTGTCATTGGCTATCTGCCTCATACTTTACATATATTTACTTCCTTGGTGCCCTGTTAGACAGTGGAAGCTGAATTTTAAGGGCGAGTGGTCAATATTCATAATGAAGAAAACCAAGCATGCATACCGTAATGAAGTGGCGCTTCTCTGCGATTACAGATAAGTCAATACCTGGTGTCCTGTGGGTGCCTTCATAAAGTGCTCAGTCTCTTTTGTAAGGACGAAAGCGATCCAACCATATTAATATCAGCAGGGCTCTATTTCACCAGAGCTGGCCCCAAGCCTGCGCCAGCACCGGCCTTCCCAGCAGCTAGCCACAGGATGGCAGCACAGGTTGGAAACTGCAGCTGCAGCCGGCTGCCAAACTGCCAGGCTGCAAAGACAGGGACCCGTCCTCAAATGACGATTAATGCAGGTTAAGGTGGGACCCGAAACCCACACGAGGATGCCCTCAAGGTGTGAGGGAGCTCAGAGGCAATCTGAACTCTAGGAATAGCACCCGTGCCTACCAGTGTTGTCTTGCCCTGTTAACTTCCTCGCCAGGCTTCTCCATTGCTCTTTGGTGGGTTCAGACCAGCGGCAGAGGAACGTGCAAGCCCACAAATTCTTACACGGAGTTAGGGAGGCCTCTGCAGTTGCCCATGTTGATGGTAGTTGTCTGCAGTTTTGCCCTCAGTCCCTTGCTTTGCATAGCTAGGAAGAAGTGGGGTTTTTTATTTTTTTACTTCATGCTACCTCCAGCTGGTACCCGCTGGAGGCCTCTCCTCCAACTGCAGCTATGGCAGCTTTTCTGCCCCTGTTGGCTCTCTTTCCTGCTTGCTCAAGTAAGCGATTCAGTGACAGTGACATGTCCTACAAAACTCTTCAATGGGATACGAGCCCCACTAGCCACCTCCAAACACCAGAGGCAACCTAGCATGCCCCCAAGCCACTCCTAGGTACACAAGGAGGCTGATAACCTTCATTTGCCAGCTGACAAGAGGGCAACCAAGAATTTTTGGGAGGTTGCTTGCTATGGGAAAAGTCTCCATGGGCCAGCTGGCCAGACATGAGGGGCTTGTAGTGTGCATACTTCTTTTCTTTATGGATTTACTGATGTCTCATACTTAACCTTCTGGTTCTCCAGAAGGTTCTCCTCTTGAGTCTCTGTGACTACGTGGTGGGTGCCAGTGTTGTCTGCAGTTTGTCCCTGCTGCGCAATGAGGAGTCTTTGCGTGGTGAGCAGCAGTGCATTGGGGCGAGTGAGCTAGAAAGCTGTGCTTGACTAGGGTAGTGATCCTGGCCTCCAAACACAGGCTTCTGGCAAACTGCCTGCTGCTGCTTCCTGGTGGCTGTGCATGCCCCCAGCACATCACTGGTGTGTCTAGCTCTGGGATGGAGGGCGGATGCCTGCTTCTGACCTTTCTGCATGCACCATGCTTGTTGCTTCACTCCCTCAGCAGATGTAGGAGGACCAGCAAATCTGTGTGAATGGGCCTTTTAAGTCCCTGTATGGGCAACAACTTTTCATAGATATCACTAGTGACTATCTACGACAGAGCTATGAGAGGAAGAGACTTGCCATTTTCTAAACCTCAGCTTCATTTATTATTTTGCACTCTCAGCCATTGGGCTTTCTGAGCTCGCTGAAGAGTAGCATTTAAGGGCAGTAAATGACTTTGAAAAAGACCCAGGCTAGGAGCCAACTCTTCTTTGTGCCAGTCATTAAAGATCATCTGCAGAGCAGTGCGTGGAAGGGGATTTCTTTGCAGTCCCCCACCTCACCTGAGATGTCACTTTTGGTCAGGACAGCAATGATTGTTATGTCACAAGTCAGATGTGGCATTGAATAAAGGAAGAGCAGCAAGATTTGGTAGATGTCATACAAAGACAGATCCTGGTATAAATTATCATGGATCTGTTGAAACTGATGGAGCTATTGTGATTGTGTCAGCTGAAGATCAGATCTGTGTGCAAATCTTCCCAGAAAAGAGGTGAAATGGGTGGGTGGGGAGGGGGTAAGAACCAGTTATAAATCCAATGTCATCACAGCATGGGCTTGACAGGCAAGGCCAAGGCCCTGTCCCAAACCTGATGCCCATTTCTGCAAGTTGTATAACACTGGTAACTCTGCTATTCCTCACTTTGGAATAGATTTGGTACCTGCCCACAAAGGAGGCCAACCCCCCGAATCAATCTTGAATTCAAATTGTATTTCTGATCCTTTCAGAATGACTTGGCCAAAAATTGAACTGCATTATTCCTTGCAAAGGTGTGCCCTGCAAAGTTCCCCTACCTCAGACTTTGGCTTAATCTAGGTAAGCCCATGAACTGCTCATCCACCCTGTTTCCATAAGCTCAGAAGTGGATCCTTTGTGCCCTGCTGGGTAAAGCTGCTGTGACTCTGGCTTCTCGTTTTTTGCCAGAGTAGACCCTAGCTAGGCAAGCTGTGTTGCTGTGGCATAAAAACATGCACAAAAAGAAACTGTATTCCCCTCAGACTTGGAATCCCTTGCTAAACTAACCGCAGAGACAGGCTTCAAGTAAGCAGGAGTGAGATGTTCCTGCATTCAGAAGGAAACAAATAAACAAAAGCTATTGTTGGTGTTACAAGAGAGGAGCAGAAAGAGCCAGTACCTGCCAAGGCACCTCGCCTCTCATACTGTCTGATCCACCAACGACCCGGGTGCCTGTTTTAATTATTGGTACAATTCTCGTGGTGGCAGCTGTGGTGGTTTCGGTGATGTTGTCAAGAGCCTCGTCAGGAGCATCGTCGGGGTCATCAGCAGTGATGTTCCAGTGCTCAAAGCTGTTTATGGCTCGGGTGAGCTTGCTCTTTGCTTCAGGAGCCGTAATCCTGCCACAGGGATATGGCACTGGGAGAGAAACAGTCACATTTACAACTGGCTACGTGTCACGCTAAGAGTTACAGCAAACAAAGGGGCAGGCGAGGAGACAAAGACCGTCTCTGCACAGTGTGCTGTTTCAGGACCGACACGGGAGACGCAGGGCCACAGACGGACTCGCGCGTTCTGTGTGTGAATGGGTGCCTGCACCTTTAAATGAGCTCTAATGAACACATATGTAATTGAATTGTCCTCGGCCCAAGGTGGGATTGCAGACAATACACAAAAGCAGCAAAAGCATGAATTATTTCCATGCTTTAGAAATTAATTCTCATTAACTTTGGAAAGAAGAGCATTCATGAGAGAGAGAACACTTCTGATGGGGCCCTGCTGTTGTGCCTTTATTTAGCAGGATGCTGAGGTGCATGCCTGGGAGGATTGCTGGGGTAGTCAGCGAGGCCATTTGGCTGACATTTCTACAGCAAATAGCTCCAGTACAATAGAAGTCCAGCTAGGAGAGGACAGGAAATAACATCTGCCAATTTACAAATAGTCCTCTTTGGCACAGAGGTGAGAAAAACATGAATAAACTCTTCCTAGAGCTGTAGATTTTCTTGATTTATGAAGGTCACATCTGTAAGCTCATTTCCAGTTATCTCTTCCCATTTCTCTCCTACTCAATGTGTGCAGAATTCCTGCTAATAGTGGCAGTCAAAATAGTAAATAGCATCCGGCATTGTCTTTCATCTAAAGAGCTTTCTACAGCTCTGTGCAAACAAACGTTGGTGTAAGACTAGAGACAAGGGTGTCCCACTGCAATTTCCTGCTTTTTAAACAGTCTGCTCTCGGAGAAGCGTTTAACTTAAGTGTTCAGCGAGGGAAAGTGCTACCTGTAAGGTTAGGCTGGGAAGCGAAGTTTTCATAGCCAACAAAAGCTAAGCTTATGCAGGAAGGGTAATTACCCAACCTGAAAGATGACCTTACTGCGAACAGTAAAGCTTTCTGGTCTAGTGAAACTGTTACGGCATGTTGGGCAACACAGGCCTTAGCTCTTAATGATCTACGTTAACAGAAGGACTCCCGGCCTAAAAAAATTTCTGCGGTGACAGCTGGAAGTCAGCACTTTTAAGGGGCTCAGTGCATTGCTGGCTGCAGCCCTCAGAACTTCAGAAACTAGTTCACCTATGTGGGTGCCTGCGCACTAGCTTAGCGGTGCAAATTTGTCACATCCAGGCATTAGAAGTAGGATAATATCAAACCTTAAACTGGGCTTAGAGGATAAAGATTTTCTCTACTCAATCTTGCCAGCTGTGTTACTGTCAAGTTACCTGGCTGTGCTGAGTTGTTGGGATCACACGAGACAGTGTAGTCAGAGCTCTTGTAACAGCTGAGGAGTGGGGTAAGGTTGGGGATGGAATGAGAACTTGTTGTTCTTTCGACCGTTCTGAAGCTGCAACCCCAAACAGCCCATTTTCCCTCTGCCCCTTTATGCTGTCTTTCCATCTGGGTCCTTCAAACCACATCTAAACCATAGATTTTAATTCCTGTTGAAGGTCTTTGAGTGTGTCTACACAACGACGGAACACAACCACCACCTCCACAAGCTTCACTTGTCTCCAGCAAACTCAAATACTTATAGGATACCGTATGATGCCCAGCAATGAGATAGACCATCAGTAGGATTTCACAGGAGGAAAGATCCTCTTTCATTCTGAAAAAGCGCAGAGCATTCTGGATGCAAGATCTACCTCCTTCAGTAGGAGCTACCTAAATAGTACCTCCTACTGAAAGAACTTGGGAGTGAGCTCTGGCTGGATGTGTACCAGCGCATATGCTGGTATAGCTGAGCACCATGCTGCTGACTCCAGAAAGTTACTGACTCCTACCTAGAATTACAGGATGGCTGTAAATGGGAGAGGAGCCTGTGTGAGTAGCCATCTGAAACGAGCAGATTGTCTTGTGCACAAATTCCCGGACACATAAGCTCCTTCTCTGCCTACCTAAGCTAAAAAAATGGTGCTTAAGTTGCATCCTTCATGTGTGACCCCACACCTGCCACTGGGAAACTGCAGTGGCAGGCCCTTTACATTTGCTAAGCGTGACAACAAGGCCAGCTTCCAAGGGGATATTGCATTTCTGTGAGATCCATTTATCTAAATCCAGACGACTTTGGAGACTTCAAACTAAATCTCTTTAAAAAACTGTAAGATCTAACCTGCAGGTTCACAGGACTTTCCATCTTCGTGAAGTACATAGCCAGCGGCGCAGGAGCAAACAACTTTCTGTGGTGGGTCGTGCCTGCAAAAGTGCTTGCAGCCTCCGTTTTTAATTGCACAAGTGAAGTCTGAAATAAAGAGAAATGAAACCGTAAATGCTCTTTGAAGTACAACTGATAAAACATTTGTTGGGCCTTTGGACTCAACATATAACCAGCTCCAATTGCTACAAACTATTGAAAATGGCAATGCTTGTTTGCAGTGAGAGTATCCTCCTTTCAAATCACATCCCTGCTCGTAATGAAGGAGCACCAGGCATCTGTTTGAGAAGGAAGGGTGGAAGAAACAGCCACAGTGGCACTACGAGAGGGCCTGGTGCTGCCTCCCGCCTCGCCAAGGACTGCACGAATTCCAGCATGATGGACGCGGTGCAATCGAAGCCGCTCCGCGCTGCAGAGCGGTCTGAAATTTGGCAGCTTGACCCTAAAGGATTCCTGCAAATATTTGGTTACAAGCCACATGATTTCCCCACTGTTGTGCTCCCCTCCTCCCCCTGCACTTATTGAAACCCAGCCCAGGCGACCAGATGCTGGCAGAGAGCTCTGCTTTTCAAATGGGAGCAACCCCTCAACCCAAGCAAAAGTTTAGTATCAGGATTATCACTGGGCGTCAAATTTAAAAGCTCGGGCAAAACCATATGCTCTTCCTGACATAGCAATAAATCATTGTAGCCTTACATGAAGGACTCATTTCAGCACAACTTTTGATGAAACAGGTTCTGGTGTTTGTAGTGAAACCTGAGGTGCCGCAAGATTCCCGTTTTGTCGCGAGTGCGTTCTCCCACCCTGTCTCATATTCCTCTTTATGGGAACACTATCTCTTGCAGTTGGAAAACCACTAATCCATTGATGCCCATTTAATTCTCAGTGATTTTTCAAGTAACTTCACAGTAGATTAACTCCCCTCCTACTTCCTCAAGGACACCTCCCTTCCTGTAGCCATTTTAATGTCATCATTTACTATTTTTATAGAGATCCTTTTCACGCCTCACTTCTAGTGCTATTTTTGTTCCTGTCTCACTTCCATGAGAAATCTGCAATGAGACTATTTAAATGTGATGCAGCTTTGAAATGCTCTTTTTAACGTACGCTTCTCTCTTGCCAGAGCAGAAACACAACTAAAAAGAGAATCTTTTATTAGTGCAGTGAGTCTAGCACATTATGCGAGTTGCACAGCCCCTGATTATATTATAAATGTAAGAACTGAATATCCCTCTTGCTTAAATTATCAGCTGTTTGGTTTTTCATAAACTCCTCATCCCATCAGGAAAATATTTGCCTTTTGTTTGCCTTTAGAATCAAGGTTGCTGGTGGTAGTTATAATCATGGCTTTAACCGAGTGCTGTTGCAAGGAGGTCACCAGAGCTCTGCCCTGTTCAGCGCCCCAGGCCCAGCCCTGCTAGTTTGTCAGTGAGAAGGAGAAACTGCAGATACTGAACAAAAAGACCTCGAACCTGCATCTCAGGAGAACTGCATGTATGAGCAGGCACCTTGGTGTTCATCGGAGGGGGAGCTAGGGCCCTCTGGAGGACAAGAGAGGACGGAGGCGTCAGCGCCTGTTCCCCCGAGCGTGGCCCCCGTAATCCCGCTGCCAGTGGGCTGTATTTGTGTGTTCATACAGTGCCTCATAGCATGGCAAAGTGTATCTGAAACAACCCTCGAGTCGAACGAAGCTATTTAGGGCCACTGTGGGATTTCAAATGCACGGAGCAAGCCCCTGGTACGTACCTATCTCGCAGTTTCTCCCTTCGTACCCAGCCGGGCACCAGCACACATAGGAACTTACTGCATCCTTGCAAGTGGCTCCGTTTTTGCATGGATTGGGTTCACATTGATCTCCATCTTGGGGAGAAGACAAGAGAATTAACATCCACCACAGCTGACGCCCACCAAGTGCTGGAGCCTTGCCCCAGGCAAGCCTCCGGTGAAAGACGAGTGAGAGACAATGTGCCCTCCTTTTTTGTAATGGAAAATATTTCAGATTCTGGCACACAGCTGCAGTGTTGTGGTAGCATCAGCAGCAATGCTTTACCCAAAGACTGAACTATATACCCTGCCCGCTTTGGGTAAATTCTTCCTATTTCAGCAAAACTCCTCTAAAATATCCCTAATGTGACTTCTGAACAGGATCCTATGTCTTGGCTAATTTAGATAGCTGAAGATGAGAGGTTTATTTCCTCAAGAGGAAATAAACCTTAGGATTTCCTAATCTGAATTATTTTCACACTCTTGCCATTGTTTTCTGAAGACAGGGGCCTGTCCACCTGGTCTCGAGACCCCTTTGGGTATTAGGATTCTGAGCCTAAGTCATTGCTATTTCCTTCTTTCTAAGCTTTTTACTACTATTACGTGGTCTAGATTTTTCTTTATATATCAGGGCTTCAATTTTTACAGATGCCTGTGCTTCAGAAGCTGAGGCTTTAATAAAAATGTCCAGCTTTGCAAAATCGGTGATCTAGTACTTCAGAACTGTAAGTCAGCAATGTTAAATTACAGGGAAGTGAGCTTCGAAATGGTAATGCAAAGACAAGGAAGGAGAGGAATGGATGTCATGAGGCGTTCGCATCCTACCAGTAAGTGTGGCTGTTAATGATGTATTGAGGTACAGGTGGGAATGCAAAAGGCAGCTTGCAAGCAGAGACAAAATGATTTTGTCTCGTTTAAGGCAAAGTGTCAGGGTTTGTATGTGAGATTTGGGTGGTTGTCACCGTGGCCCAACACTTTGGGCATGAGCGGACATGGAGCTCTACAAGGGTACGCTTGTAGGCCGCGTGTGTTGTGAGTAGCAGCTTGTAAACTGAGCAGTAAAAACAGATGCTTGGGATGATAGAGAAATACATGTCATTCTCTTATTTTTTGAAGGGCTGGTCAGTTTCAATTACAGGGGAACAAATGCAATGTCGAATTTCATTGGCTAGTTTTTCAGAGGACCATCCTAAAATGCGAATATAACTTTTTTTTTGATTTTATAGTCCGGACTGACTAATCTTAATTATTTAAGACATTTTAGTGAGCTATTCTGGGCACTTTGCCAAACTGTAAAGCAATTCCTTTGCCAAAATAGCCTTAAAATTAGTTTCAGATGTTTTAGTGGGCATCAAAATCTTTTTGGGAAGGATCTGAGGAGTAGTTGGGGATTGAGGCTGGAAGGGGTAAGAAATAGATAATGGAAGAAAAATGGGAGAAATTTAAGCGTCTGGGATCACTGGTGTGAACTGCAAACAGCTGTTTGCTGTGGTCATGTTGCGGCTCCACTTCAACACAGCATGTCCAGGGATTCGCACTGCACTTGCACGAAGCTATGCTTTATCTGGAGATCTCCGCTTGAGAGCAGAGCATTTGCTATTTGCTGGAGGTAGGGCTAATCGCTACTCCAATGTTTTACTCCTCTATGACAGCCGAAGCCGTAGTGTGAGCAGTCACACCCAGCGGTCAGCATGGACTGGGTTTGTTCTACTGTTTTTTTTGCAGTTTTCTCAAAAAAACTGTTTGAAAAGAAAACAATGAGCAAATCTGGATTTCTTTTTTAACTTGGGATTTATATACAAACAGGGCAGGCCTAGGCTAGGTGGCTGCAGGATTCAGGCCACCTAACTCTGATGAGCTCTGTCGTAAAACATTTTCTGAACGCTGAAATACATTTGTTTCACTAAATGTCTGCTACTTATTCACTGAGAGATGAACATCATTATGCATTTGAACATGAAGAAGGCAGCTCTTACCGATGTATGTTTTCCAAAACTCCATCTGCAAAGCAAAAAAGAAGTTTCCATTAATTTCTCATTTGTGGGCACTGCAGGACTGAAGCAGTCAAAGGGGATGACTCCAAAGCTACAGTGGAAGACCCGAAGGAAAACAACTACCACAGTAATCCCAGTGGTGACTGACAAATCTTCGGAGTGGTTGCCCAGCCTGACACATGGATCACGAATGAGAAGCAAATGATGAGAGAGAGCTGTTCCTAGCTCGCATGTTTTCCTTTGCTGTTTGCTTCTCTGGGTCACACCAGCAAGGCTCTTCCTGGGAGGGCTGGGGGGGACCAGGTGTTTGCCATTTTACAGCAGTAATACCCACCGTTTTCTCTGTGTTTTCAAAGACTTCTCGTGCTTCCTCGAAACTGCATTTTTCTTCCATGCACTCTCTCTCAAGGTTCCCAGGAATAACCTCTTCCAGTCGGTTTGAATTGGCCCGCGTTTGCCTGCTCAGGACTGCGTTTGCCTCCTTGTTCTCAATGAACACTGCAATTTGGAAAGAAACAGAGTTGGAGAGAGGTGGGCACCATCGTGCTGTGTGGCTGGACCATCCGCTCCCATGAGGCAGTTCCCTCTCACGAGTTCACCCCCTTTGCACCATGGCCAGGGGCATTTGAGGAGCCTTCTCATCTACTTAAGTTTTCTTTGGTGTCTGATTTAAGTGCAATCCAGAGGATGAAATCTGGAGAACCTGGAGCCAAAGCAGTCAACTCCACCAGTGGAGGGCTGGGGTCATCAGCACATCCCCAGGAGGGACTCTAGGCTGGGGGCAGGCGTCCCCTCACCAGCAGCCTGCCTTTTCTCCCTCCCCCAGTAATAGAGCCCTACATAAAGCTCAAGAGTCCCATGTCCTGCTGGACAAGCTGCCCCGTGACGTTGGGGACGCGGCACCCACGCCACTGTCGTAGGGAAGGGCATCCTGTTGGTGGAGCAGGCAGTGACAACCTCCTCGCCTTGGCCATCTCACAGGGTTTGCTCCCAGCCCATCTCTCCAAGACACTCACCGCTGTTGAGTGTGAGTTCCCCATCGCCCTCTGGGCAGCTACATCCCCACGCTTAAAAAACACATTATTCACCCAGAAGAACATTTGTCTTTGCCTCCTCAGCCTCTCTACCCTCCATTAGTGGCCGTGTCCCTTTTTGTCAACAGATGGCATGGTGGAGCAGCTTTGCCTGGGGCTACTGGGGGTCACTGTGAGCACTGCTGCTGGCTAGGAGAGGTTTCCTGCATGCATGAGGTTGTCCTTTCTGGGAGTTAAACGAAGGCTGAACTCAGCCAGATGAGCAGAGGGGGCACTTGAGAGGCAGGTAACACCTACTAGTTGTTTTCCGTGGCTAACTTCTACTCTGGGTTAAGACCCAATCCAAGCCCCTTTGAAGCTGTAGAGGATGGGTTTGGCTGAATTCTAGTGAATCCAAATAGGACTGCTCTGATTTGCACCATGTCACGGACTACATAGTCGGTCCCTTTGTATAGAGCTCTGTCTGCAAGAGCCTGTATTTTGATTGGTTTTGCAGCAATTTTAATCATTATAAAACATGCTTACACCTCCGCCTTTTTCATGCTCACGTGTTTTCCATTAAAAGAGAAAGTGAGTGCCTTAAAATCCTGACTTAAAATGCCTCTCTGCTCTCCTCCGTGACCTATGCTGCAGCCTGCCAGTTTGCCCCTGCATCAGGCATAACAGGCTGGAGTGGAAATGATGGAGCAGCCTTCCTTGTTGCTCTGCTTTGTAACTCTGTTAGGCTCTCGGTGCACCTAGCACCCAGGGAGCTGGATGTGGGTACCAGCCACGTGCATGTGGGCAAAGCATGGCCCAGTGGTAGGGTCAGGAACGGCCTTCAGATCAGCCTACCTTCATCCACCAGCAAGAGCGAGCTGATAGTGTTCAATCTCCTCACTTTGTCACCTTCGTTAGGTGGCATGGACATCCCTTTAGCTCCTCCTCGTGGGATGTGCCAGGTACTTGCTGTAATTAACCCATTTAATAGAGGGACCTCACCTCAGTTTGGTGAAAGCACCTTTACCTCCTGTCAGAGCCCTTTAGGTGCTTTTGGTGGCCCAATTGCATCCTGATCCAGCACGCTGCTTTATGAGCAAAACCGGATTGAACTGAAGGTTGCTGGCCCCACGGGGTAACGGGCATTGGACTCACCCTGGCTGGGAACTATTCTCACCCCAAGCATATGCTCGCACACAACCTACCAACTTCTAAACCGCTATCTAAGAGTAAAAGAGATGAGTCTCTGAGCCAAGGCTTGGAAAGGAAGCCTGTCCTGCCAGTTGAGCACAGTGTTTTCTAGGAGGTACACCTAGGTGGATGATGGCACTAATATACTTTAGGCTCTGCTCATTTGTCATTGCTGAGCAAACTCTTTGGAAAGAGGTCTTTTTTTTTAACCTCTTACTTGCAATGTTTTAGTGAAAGGGGAAGGCCAGCCTTGCACCAAACAAGTATTCACACAGGATTTGAACCAGCTTCTGTTGGAGCTGTTGCTGCTATAGATAAATCAGGCAACAGCCTGCATTACTATGTGTGATTGCCCACATCCATCAACTACTCTGTCTTGTCTACAATTTTGGCTGTATTTTACACTCATCTTTGTTAAATTCACGCAGGGTTTGGCTTTAAACAATTCTCGCAATGGCAAATCCAATGACTGTTTTATGGATCTGAGTACTTATTTGTATTCCAGGACAGTGGAGCAACACAGTAAAGGGTATGGGGGTTACTCCCCAGGAATGCTTTCCCTGTTTTTCCTTTTGTGTGGGTGTGCGTGTGTTCTAAAATGGCTGAATCAAGCTCTGAAAGCTTAAAAGCTCTAGAAATTTAAGAAAAATCCCATTCTTAAAATTAATCCCTGTGAAACTTTCTGTGTAAAATCACCATAAAAGCTATTATTTTATTCCCAGGAAAATGCCCAGAGCTTTAGAGGGAGAAGCTATGAAACGTAACAGTCTTCCTCTGAGCTCTTGTCACTGCGTAAGCCGTCCCCGTGTTGAGTGACAAACTGTCCCTTTTCCTGTGGCTGTAACCGCCCGCCCCCAAGGACTTTCTAGATTTTAAATGAACCCACCTTCACTCTGAGCACCAAGAAAAGCTCCCAGAAGATAAATGGAGAGTATGAGGGGGATTTTTGCCATCTTCTTCCCGCTGCCTTAACCTCTTGCTGGCGAATTGTTCAAGTGGTGGAGCTCTGTCAATAGTTCCAAAGTGCAAGTGGTTGTTTATTTACCCTGGGTAACCCTTTAATTTAAGGTCCCCAGATGTGCCATTGCCGAGGTTTGAAATGGCAGCGTGGAGGTTATTTGAGGGGCATGTTGGTATTCAAGACACCTCTTAGGCAGCTGGAGTCCTTGGAGTCGTCATCTCCCCTGCAGGATATTACTGACATGCTCAGGGGGTTGAGCGTCGCGCAAGAAAAAATTAATCCAGCTTCAGTAAACCTTGTCAAGGCATTGGATTTCCCATTCTTGTCCAGATGATGTTACTGACCCTATAAACGTCATGGTAACATTTTCACAGGCTTCTGCATGTCCCAGGATTCATCGCAGAACAGCCAGGATGGATTCACTCAAGGACGACCCCCATGGGTGACGCTTCCCCTTGGGACCATGTGCAGACCTGGGGCAGGGCTGCAGCAGGGCACACTGCACCATCTCACTCAAGATAAAAGCTAGATGAAGTGGAGTGAGACTATCAGTGCACTCTCCTCTGTTGGGGCAAACCCTGGAAATGTCATAGCATTTCATAGATGTCCACAGCTCTGCACGCATAGCCGCAGGGAAGGAATCAGCTACTTGGTGGCTTGGACAGTCCTGCCATGGACTGGTGTAGGGGTCAAATCATGCCGAGGCCAGGTTCATGGTGTACTCCTGATTCCCGCTGGGCAACGAGTGGACCAAAAGGGAGGGAAGAGAGAGGGAGGAGGAAAGTGCTGGGGAGGAATGAGATTTGATCTGAGTTTAGTCTAAACCAGAAATGTTTGGCATTTTTTTTTCCATGAAATAGAAAAAAAACAGTGTTTCATACGATACCATTCATGTTAATGGTGGGTTGCTTAAAACTTTTAAAACAAATTTATTCCTTTCCTCTGAATTTTTCTTAACCTGAAGAGCTATTTCAAGGTGAGGAGTTTCTTTTCAGAAAATGCTGAACATTGTAACAAAAAGTTCAATTCTGGAAAGGTCAAAATGACCCCTTTCCCCCTTAGAGGCATGGAAGGGAAGACAGACTGAAATCATTCATCCCACTCCGGGGAGGGCTTGTGGCCTTTCTACCGCTGCCCTGTTGCTCAAAACCTGCTTCCTGGCTCTGCTTCTCCCCTTTCTCCCTCCTGTACACTGCAGCGCTGAAATCCATCGTTATATCCATGCACAAGTTGCTGCCTTGCAATGCTCTGCCCAACTGCAAAAGGTCCTCAGACAGAAAGATTTTAAAGCAGAACCATGTTTCTGCATGTGTCTTTGGTGCTATTGGCTTTTGGTATTGACACAGATCTAATGACACGGTTAAGAGAAAACCAGCAGAGAGATGTTAGGCTGAGGCTTGGTTTTGATGACTTGTTAGAGCACATGAACTAGAAGAAGGAAGTTGGCAGGCTTCACTAGTTCCCAGCAAAACAAGATGGATAATTCTGCTATTGTCAGTGCGACAAGATGAATATTCTGCTATTGTCAATGCAACAGAATCCCACAGCGCATTTCACATCGTAGCAAGTGCTCGCAAACAGGCTAACTCAATTTGGTGAGAAATAGGATATCTAGTGTATTGGATGTGCCTGTGTCTTGCAGGCTGGAGAGCTATTAGTTGCTATGAGGTTGCAGTAGCCCTCGGGTAGTTGTTAAAGTGTTTACTTGAGCTTATGAACCATAAATTCTGTGCACTCAGTCCAAAAAATTTAAAATGTTCCTTCGTGCAGCAGATGTGAGAGACATTTATGGTTGCATGGGTATTTGGAGTTACTTTTGTATGCGGAAAGGAACAATCAGCTGCAGGTAAATGAGAGGTGTTCAGTTTGAGTTACAGCCTTGTAAGAACTGTGTTGCCCGGATGAAAAACATCCATTATTTTCCTTTTCTTGAGCAAACAAAAGGTCCTAAAACCTATAATTCATCTTGTTTCTTCTCGTTCCATTTGAAATGATCTTTATTCATCACTGACAGTAGCTTTTGTTATCAAATTTCTATGGTAGATAAATGAGTCAGGATGAGGTAATGTGCTGTTGATGTAAACTGAGGGCAAAGTGAAGAAGGTAATGATCATCTCTCATTTTCTGTGCATAAGAAAATGAAAATGTGAGAAAACAAATTGGACTAACATGCTGAAACAATGGATCTCCTATCAATAAAAAGGACTGTGCAGAATGACCTGCCATAACAAAGGACAATTAGAATCTCATTCCTGTAAATATTTTACTTCAGAACATAGGTCAGTCAATTATTCTTGGTTTATGGTACATGTTTCACTTGTAATAGTATTTGCAATGTTATTGCTAATTAATTTTCACAGAAAATGCCAACATCATTAGAATAAACAGGGTCATTAATATAAATAATTTCGACTCCGTGTTACAGTTGCTGTCAACTTCTGGGGCACTAAATTGAAAGCAAAGTATTTCTTTTATTTATTTTGCAAACAAAATCCCCAAAATTGTGATCCCCACAATAGGCATTGAGTAGCTGAAGGCTTCGTTGTTTAGGTGGATGACACAATTACATATTTGATCTGGGTTTATTTTGATTTAGTGTTTTATGCTCTCACAAGAAGACTATTTAAAATACAAAGCTAAGACATTTTCCTTCCTATTAAAAGAATCTCTCCAGCAGTAAGTTTTTAGGAGGCATCTCTTCTAGTTTGAGGTGTTAGATTTGGGGATTTTATTGAAATTTCTCATTTTTTCGTTTGAACAAAATATTCATAAACATGTGGCTTCTGGGCATGTGTTTGTTTCAAAGATGGAACTGTGTCAAAATGTTCATTTCTGGATTGAAAAAATCAGGCTTTCGATTTGAATCTCTTGCTCATCGCAAGTGACCAGAGCCTGGAACACAGAGACAGCTCTGTCAAATGCTGTTAAAATTGATGTGGCTTTAAAATATTTTAGCCTTGCCCAAGTAGCATATTTTGATGAAAAATACATGTAGCCCAAAAGGTCCCTCTCAGGACATTCAGGTCCGCAGGCATATGCAATCTGTCCCCCGCTCCAGCAGAGCTCCCTGTTAACGTCTCTGTTACAAGCACTCCTGCTGCTTTTCCGAGCTTGCAAGGAGGTCACCGAGGAGCCTACGGATACTGGAAACTCGGCTGAGAGAACTGAACGCTTTGCATTGCTGTCTCATTCTTCCTTTTTTCCTTCTCAGTGGCTCATCTGTTGTAAATCTTGTGATCTTTGGTGTCCACGGTTGGCGAGGAAAAGGCAAAAGCTTTCTTAGCGTGAAGCATGAACTTCCTGATTTGAAGAGCTACCAACCAAAAACTTAATCCGATGAAATTCTTCATCATACTCAGTCTTCCCCAGCATCAGCTAAGGAAATGGGTCTGATTCCCAGTTTCAAGCTTTCTAGGCCTTAGTGGAGTTTCTTCTGGGTCACGTTGCTGCTAGTGAGAGCAGAGCAGCGAGTGTGAGGGGAGCTCACTAATCTAGTTGGGAATAGGAGACGTTTGCTACCCGGTGTCAGATACAAGCCTGGAATAATTGCCTACATTTCAAATTCTTACTTTAAATGAGTTTGCATAGGTATCAGCAAAGGCAGGCTTTAGGGCCGGTACATTGGACTGGATGGTGTAGAAAGGCATCCCCTGCAATCTGAGAGGCCCGGGGAGGCACAGGAGTGGGAAGGGTGCTGGGCATTGCAAAGTGAAATGACATTTATGAGAAGTCAGAATGAGAAAACTACTTCTTCTTTAATCTCATAGATTTTTTAAAAATGTGTTTTGCCTGCACTGATCAATAATGTTAAAATACCCTGATGGCTTGAGGATCTTGTTAAAGAATTGTTCATAATCTCTATCCTCTGCAAATGCACTCTTTTCAGCAAAAAAATCCCAGCTCAAATCTTAAGTAGATTGCAGTTTGCCTTTGCCCTCTAGACAGCTATGGTAAGTAATCTTTCCTTAACCAGCAGCAAACAAGCTATTTCTGAACGACAGTGAAAGTAATGCTTGATCTTTATTTTCTTCCCTTCTTTATTTGATTGCTTTGAAGTCCATGGCTTTTTCTGGAGCAGTGACTGTGGGAAGTTATCCAAACAGGGAGGCAGCGCAGCCGGTGAGTCCTTTGCACTGCCTATCATTCTGTTGCAGCGATTAACATACCAGAGAAAGTCTCCTTTCTGGAAAAAGTCCCATAGCCACCCAAGATACGAAGATGTATTGGGAAATGGGTGGCATTAGTGATCTGTCCCAGGTGAGGATACGCGCTCGTGTTTTGTAGCAGTTAAATTAAAATATGGAGAAAGCTCCTGCATCGTCTGGTGCCTACAGACAGTGTAGAGCTCTCTATTTTTTTCATTTGGGCAAAGGAAGAAGTACAGTGAAATGCAATCTTTCCCTCTGAAATGACCCCTCCAAAGCAGAGATCTGTGGTGCACAGAGTTTGTCATGGCTCCTCTGTGAACCCAAAGTCAGCTTTTGCCAGGGGTTCGCAGAAGCCTCATCTCCAGAGCTGCCATTCTGGGCCAGTGGGATCACAGGCGCGGGGAGATGTTGTCGACAACGTCCATCGATGCTGCTGGACAGGTGTTCAGGCAAAAGGAGGATGTTTCCAGAGGTGTAAAATGGTAACAGTTGCTGATTTTTCAGTAACAGCAGCACACAGTGAGTTTGTATAGAAACAGTATCAGCTCATAGCTCTTCAGTCTCTGGAAGACTTTCCTCTACTCCCCCTAGCCATCTCAGGGTTTTTAGTTCCTGTGTTGGACATTTTTCTTCTGTTTTTACATGGAGGCTTCAGTGACTGTGCCAAGAAACAAACTTCCATTGCTGAATTCCCTTAAGACACAGTTAGCACTTAGGCTCTATCCCTCCCATTTTATTCAGATTTTAATTAGACTCCTGAACAGGAGCATAGAGCAAACTCTGCTTTCATCTGGGAGATCCTGTGGCTGTGAAATATTTACAGGAAGTAAATAACTGTCAGGAACTAAATAAGTCCCTGACTCTACGTGAGTGTGAAAGTGCTTTGAAATAGCC